AACAAGTGAAGAGCCGCGGAACGGCCCCTGCAGACAGTAACTAACGTCAAACGTCTCTGCCCCAGGCAGGTCAGGGACAAGACAGAATGAGGGTGGGGAGGGGGGCTTGGGGAGTAGAGCCACGGTCTCCACGCTCTGCTCCCCCCACGACCACAGTAGAGCCCTGTGAACCTCAGGCTATGACAGCAGGATCCTGAAGCCCATGCAGGCTCTGAACCACACGGCCCTCCGGAAGAGGTGGGGTAAGTGTTGGGGAAACCCCCTACCCACCGCAAGCCCTGGCGCCGCCTCCCGCCTCCTACACCCCTCCCCCACACAGCGGGCCCTGGAGGCTGCTGGAGCTGGGGTTACCCCGTGAGGACCCTCACGCTCTCTGCTCCCCTCCTTCTCCATCCCCCTCCCCCAAGAGCTGTGAAACCAACTCACCAGACTGACAGATGCAGGTGCGCGGGAGGCGGCGGGAGGCGGCGGGAGGCGGGGGTGGGGGTGGTGCCAGCAGCCAATGGGTTAATGGTCCTGGCAGGGGCTCCACAGCGGACCAGGGGTCAGATGTCTCTCTAAGATGGGGACAGGCATGTGGGCTGCTATTCTAGGGCTCTGATCACGGCTGTCTATTTATAGCGCTGGGGGGAGGCCGCCTCACATAGGCAGCAGAGAGGCTGCCCTGCTGCAATGTCACCGTCGTCACCGCCTCTGCAGGCTGCGGGCACCTGCCACTACCGCAGGGAACTGAGGGGTCTTGGTCCAGCAGGGACCCCAGGGCCTCGGAGCACTGTGTGAGCCGGAAACGTGACTGGCCAGATGGGCAGCGCCATGGAGCCCCCTGGGAGTGCATACCTGCACCTGGGCGCCGTGACGTCCCCTGTGGGCACAGCCCGCGTGCTGCAGCTGGCCTTTGGCTGCACCACCTTCAGCCTGGTGGCCCACCGGGGTGGCTTCACGGGCGTCCAGGGCACCTTCTGCATGGCTGCCTGGGGTTTCTGCTTTGCTGTCTCTGCACTGGTGGTGGCCTGTGAGTTCACACGGCTCCACGGCTGCCTGCGGCTCTCCTGGGGCAACTTCACCGCCGCCTTCGCCATGCTGGCCACCCTGCTGTGCGCCACGGCTGCGGTCCTGTACCCGCTGTACTTCGCCCGGCGGGAGTGTCCCCCCGAGCCTGCCGGCTGTGCTGCCAGGGACTTCCGCCTGGCAGCCAGCGTCTTCGCCGGGCTCCTCTTTCTGGCCTACGCCGTGGAGGTGGCCCTGACACGGGCCCGGCCTGGCCAGGTGACCAGCTACATGGCCACAGTGTCAGGGCTCCTCAAGATCGTCCAGGCCTTCGTGGCCTGCATCATCTTTGGGGCGCTGGTCCACGACAGCCGCTACGGGCGCTATGTGGCCACCCAGTGGTGCGTGGCCGTCTATAGCCTGTGCTTCCTTGCCACAGTGGCCGTGGTGGCCCTGAGTGTGATGGGCCACACAGGGGGCCTGGGCTGCCCCTTTGACCGGCTGGTGGTGGTGTACACGTTCCTGGCTGTGCTCCTGTACCTCAGTGCCGCCGTGATCTGGCCAGTCTTCTGTTTCGATCCCAAGTATGGCGAGCCCAAACGGCCCCCTGACTGCGTTCGAGGCAGCTGTCCCTGGGACAGCCAGCTGGTGGTGGCCATCTTCACCTATGTCAACCTGCTCCTGTACGTCGCTGACCTTGCCTACTCCCAGAGGATTCGCTTCGTGCCCAGCCTGTAGCCCACATCGGCAGCCCGCCCACCTCTGCTCTCTGGCCAGCAGCTCCAGGCCCTGCAAGGGAAACTCAGGTGAACCGAGGTGTCAAGTAGCGAGTAGGAGGGAAGTCGCGGGCTCAGGGCAGATGAAGTACAACGGGAGAGGTCGTGCCCCGACTTCCAGGCTGGGCTCATGGAGGAACGGAGAGACAGGGGCAGGACAGCAGGGCTGAGGCCCTGAGCAGACGCAGGGGAGAGCCTCACCTAGGCTAATCCCCAGCTCTCTCTCTCTCAGCATTTCCTGGCGCTCCTGGGGCTCAGTGCTGGTCACTGTAACATAAGGGAAAACTTTAAAGCCGCTGCTGTTGTGACCCATTTTGCAGCTGGGGACGCTGAGGCCAGAAGGATTTGCGAGGTACCCAGTACCTCCGTGAGTGTCTGGAGACCACACTCAGGCTGGGTAAGGCAAGCTGAAAAATGAATGACTTTCAGAGGAAAGGCACCCAGCAGAGAAACTGGGCCAATCAAGGGGAGGGAGGGGCGTGCGGAGCCGGAACCACTCCTGGATCAGAGAGGCAGCTCCCAGAACCCTGCGAAGAGGGGCCTGCCTGGGGAGCTGTGCCGGCTCACAGAGGAGCCAGAAATCTGGACCAGCCTCTCCCACCCATGTCTGGGAAGCCTCCGGGCTAGTAGCCACAGCCTTTGGAAGCAGGCTGCCTCCGGGGTGTCTGCCGGCTGGAAGTGGTGCAGGTGGCCTGGAAGAGCCTACAGAGCCCAGCGGCGCCAAGTGCACAGTGGACAGAGAGGACCTGGTTCTGCCATAGCCACAGAGCCCCACCTGGACACCCACCATCGGCTGTGACAAAGCAGCATCAGCAGTGGCCGAGTGGGCATCTGTGCACTGTGGGCCTCTGTGGCACTGGGAGGGAGCCCAGCTGAGGACAGCCGCTGGACACAGAATCTGGGCACTGCTTGCCTCTGCTCAAGGGTCCAGCTGCCCAAACACTCCTGACGCCGAGGCCATCATCCTCCACGCTCCAGCCAGCTTCTCCTGCACAGAAGCCCAGCCTGGACCAGCCAGGAACTGACCCACTGGCCGCCCCTGAGTCCAGGCCAGGTGGGCAGGGGCACAACAGCCCCTCAGCCCATTGACTGGGTCCCACTGACGTCCTTGAGCAGGAAATAAATGCTGACAGTTAGATGCACCCTGCCTCTGGACCAGCAGTCTCTTCTGAGGGGACTGTGGGCACCTGTCCCTCCTGGCAGCCCCTCCTAGCATGCTGTGGGGGAAGGCTGAGGAAGAAGTGGCCCGGGATTGTGGTCAGGGCAGGCTGGGCTCCTGAGGGTCTGAGCAGCCTCCTGGGGAAGGGGCAGGCAGTGTCCTCTGCCTCAGAGGGGTGACAGGTCAGCCTGGCTCTGACAGGCCTGTGGCTCATGCCCATCCCTCCCAGAGGCCTGCAGCGCTCACCTCCTCCCCCATGCCCATCTGGGGTCTCGAGAGGCCCTGGACACAGCGATGGACAGATGCATTGTTGTTCCTTTTGGATGGCGGTCCCCAAAACCAGGCCTGTGCTGCTGCCATGAAGAATATAAGGAAGGGGCCTCGCTGGCCCCTGAGGAGGGGTCTTGCTCACGTTAGCCAACAAACAGGGTCTGGCCGACGTCCTTTACTCAGAGGGGGTGGGTCAATGGCAGATCCCAGACAAGGGCAGTCAGCTGTGGGGCCTGCTGCTGGCTGAGAGTGGCGGGGAGGGGTACAGGGATCACCTGCCTCCTGACTCAGGGGAGACCTGGGCACCAGTCTTGCAGGGGACCCTGCCTCCTCTCCTTTTTTTTTGCTGGCCAGAATTCTGAAACGAGTTAATTGTCACCAACTTCCCAATTTTCTCCCTGTCCGGTGGCCCTTCTGCCACCTTCTCAAAGGTCCTGAGGGAGAGAAAGGAAGGGGAGGAGACCCAGGGCTGGGAGGTCTGACTGGGAGGCTTCCTTCAGAATCAATGCTGTTGATGGTGTATCCCTGGCCCAGAGGGCTGTCCATTTTGGGTTTTTGGGTTTTTAGGTAAAAGTGTTTCTTGCTGTTATCACTTGGGGAAAACTGATTTTGAAATGGCCTGGGGAGCTTGGCTCTCAAAGCACCGTGGCGATGCTAGCCTTCGTGCCCCAGGTTTGAGCTGTCCATCTGGACAAGCTCCTCCCATGGCCACCACAGAGCAGCCTCCCAGTGTTGGTGGTGGTCATTACATGTCTACAGTGGGGGGAACAGGTAGACAGATAGCCAGAACACGTGGCCCTGCCGCTGTGGCAGGAGCGTCCCAGGCCTTCTGAAATGATGTGCTAGAATAGCCTGTCATCATCTAAGATACAGCACAGAAAAAATAAGGTAGCTCCTCTCACCCCTTGGCAGGGGAATGGGCTGCCAGTGATCCCTTCTGACTTCGCCCTTAATCTCACCACCGACAGGGACCCTGACTATCCAGAGCCCGAATCAGATGAACTCTGAGCATGCTCTCAGGGGGAAGTGACTGGAGCTTCACTCTCCCTAAAACCCAGGGCAGGCATGATGTTTGGGTATTGGAGGATGCTCCGGGTTGCATGGGAGCTGGGGCACGATGGGGTGGGCTTCCTGTGTTTGCTAGCGGAGCACCACTGTGTGCCCAGTTAGAAGAACACCTGTGGCGGCCTCACGCCTGTAATCCCAGCACTTTGGGAGGCCAAGGCGGGCGGATCACAAGGTCAGGAGATCGAGACCATGGTGAAACCCCGTCTCTACTAAAAATACAAAAAAAAACGAGCCGGGCGCGGTGGCGGGCGCATGTAGTTCCAGCTACTCGGGAGGCTGAGGCAGGAGAATGGCGTGAACCCAGGAGGCGGAGCTTGCAGTGAGCCAGGATTGTGCCACTGCACTCCAGCTTGGGCGACAGAGCGAGACTCCGTCTCAAAAAAAAAAAAAAAAGAAGAAGAACACCTGTGGCTGCAGTGTCATGCCTTTCTTTTCTTTTCCTTTCTTCTTTTCTTCCTTTTTTTTTTTAGGTGGTGTCTTACTCTTGTTGCCCAGGCTGGAGTGCAGAGGCCGGATCCTGGCTCACTGCAACCTCCACCTCCCGGGTTCAAGCGATTCTCCTGCCTCAGCTTCTCAAGTAGCTGGGATTACAGGCGCCTGCCACCACGCCCGGCTAATTTTTTGTATTTTTAGTAGAGATGGGGTTTCACCATGGTGGGGTTTCACCATGTTGGCCAGGCTGGTCTCGAACTCCTGACCTCAGGTGATCTGCCCACCTCGGCCTCCCAAAGTGCTGGGATTACAGGAGTGAGCCAACGCGCCCAGCGGAAATAGTGTTATATTTAAAATGTTTCCACTTAGCAAATTGTTTTCAACCCCGCCCCCGCGCGCGCGCGCACACACACACACACAAAGGAAAGAAAACGCGGTGCAGCCGGGCTTCTCCAAACTCGATGACAGTAGAAGGGACTGATTCCCAGAGAGCACCGGCCACGCGCCCAGGGCCGCCAGCTTGACGCGTCCGTGTCCGGGTGGCCCAAGACAAAGCCCTGCGTGCAGGGCCCCCTCGGACCGCCCCCTCCGCCCGCGTCCTCGGACCCCACGGTAGGTCCCAGGAAGCGCGACGCGGAGGAGCGCGGGTCAGGGGACCGCGAGCCTGAGAGGGGGTGTGTCCGGGGGTCGGGGGATCCCAGGGCACGCGAGCGGCGGGGCCCGGCGGACGGCGCGGGGGGGGCGCGCGGATGATGCAACCGCTTTGGCGCCGCCGCGCGCTCTGATTGGCCAGCGCCTGGCGGCCGCGCCCGGATTTGCTGGCGCGACGGGGGCGGGGCTGGGGTGCGGGTGCCGCGTGGCGGGCGCGGCGCGGAGGGGTGGGGACGGCCTGCGCACGGTAGCTGGGTTGGGGTCGGGCTCCGGGAACGGTGGGCGGCGGCTGTCGGGTGGGGCGCGACGGTAGCCTAGCTCCGGGCGGGGCGGGGCGGGAGCCCAGACGGGGGACCCCCGGGGCGCCGGGTCCTGCCCGTACTTTTCCCCCTTCCCAGTCATTTCCTCTGCGGAGCCTCTACCCCTGCGGTGGGTGCGGGACCCCTCGCCGCTCTGGCTAGGGGATCCGGAGCAGTTAGCGGGCCAGGGCCATCGGACAGCAAAGTGGAAAGCCGGGTGGGCACCTGGCTGCGGGAGGAGCGGTCAGGCTGGCACTGCCCTCCTAACTTGCTTTGATCCTGCCAGTCTCATCCCGCAGAGCCGGTGCCATCTGTGGGGGCTTTGGGCCGGGGGTCTCCCGACAGCATGAGCGTGGGCTTCATCGGCGCTGGCCAGCTGGCTTTTGCCCTGGTCAAGGGCTTCACAGCAGCAGGTAGGTCCCAGGTGGGGGACGGTGAGGCCCCGTGGGAGAGACTGGCCCCTTTCCACTTCTGCAGGGCTGGGGGCTGAAGGTGGGGGCTGGGTCACAAGACCTGAGTCCTGGGGGAACTGGCAGCTTCTGTGTGTTTGGGGCTTTACCTGTGCTGTCTTACTTTTCTTCCTGGGAATGGGGAGGGAGGGAAGCCAGAACTGGCCATGAAGAGGAACTGTTTCCCCTCTCAGGCATCTTGGCTGCCCACAAGATAATGGCTAGCTCCCCAGACATGGACCTGGCCACGGTTTCTGCCCTCAGGGTAGGTGCAGGTGAAAGGGGAAAAGGAGACTGAGTCCCTGTGGGGCTGGGCGTGGAGATGCAGGAGTGCTCCCACCCAGTGAGGGCAGGGGCCCTGGGCTGGAGTCTCATGGACCCTGCCTCCTTGCCCCGCCAATTTCTCTTGGGACCTGGGTGGTGAGAGTGTGTACAGCTAACAGGAGGGTGTTGCTCTGGAATGGAGCTCCCTGCACAGAGTTAAAGTTCCGAGGGGTCCTCTGGGGGCCTGGCAGGTGGGGCCACAGCCGGGCAGCCAAAGAACACACCTGGGGGCTGCTTGAGACCACCACTCACACGTGGAGAGCGGGGGTCTGGGGGACGGCAGTCCAAGGCTGGTGGCAGGGCGGTGGTGTGAATGGAGGCTCCTTTTCTGTCTGCAACAGGGACACATTCCACACAGAGTTCCTCCATTTCTGGGTGGGAAGGGTCATCAAGGCGGTGGTCAGAGCCCTGAGCCCCCAGCCCTGCCCACCCCCAACTCCAGCATTCTCTGTGCCGTTCTACCTGTGGGGCTCTTGGCTTGGTGGGGGTGCAGACAGCCACAGGAACAGGCTAAGCCCACCTGTTGCCCCCCACAGAAGATGGGGGTGAAGCTGACACCCCACAACAAGGAGGCGGTGCAGCACAGTGATGTGCTCTTCCTGGCTGTGAAGCCACACATCATCCCCTTCATCCTGGATGAGATAGGCACCCACATTGAGGACAGGCACATCGTGGTGTCCTGTGCGGCCGGCGTCACCATCGGCTCCATAGAGAAGGTAGCACTGCAGGCCTAGTGGGGTGTGGAGAGGGGCTGTCTACAGCCCTGGCCCTCAGTACTTCAGTTTTCATCTGCAAAAGGGTTGCAGTGTCCCGGCCCACTGGGACAGCTCAGGCACTGCTCGGGGGGGTGGGTGCATCTAGGCACTGCATCCAAAGCCAGACAGACACTGGTTTCTCTTCCAGAAGCTGTCAGCGTTTCGACCAACCCCCAGGGTCATCCGCTGCATGACCAACATCCCCGTCGTGGTGCGGGAGGGGGCCACCGTGTACGCCACAGGCACACATGCCCAGGTGGAGGACGGGAGGCTCCTGGAGCAGCTGCTGAGCAGCGTGGGCTTCTGCACAGAGGTGGAAGAGGATCTGATCGATGCCGTCACGGGGCTCAGTGGCAGCGGCCCCGCCTACGTGAGGACTGCGGGGGCAGATGGCAGCGGCGGACACTTCCCAGGACCACAGGGCACATCTGTCCCTGCCCCCCTGGGAGGGCCACGGTGGAGGGCTCCAAGGCTGTGGGAACTGGAGCTTGCCCAGAAGGGAAGGAGAAGCCCAGGAGAGAGGCTCAGGGTGCCTTCTCCCCACAGGCATTCACAGCCCTGGATGCCCTGGCTGATGGGGGTGTGAAGATGGGACTTCCAAGGCGCCTGGCAGTCCGCCTCGGGGCCCAGGCCCTCCTGGTCAGTGTGTTTCCTGACCCTCTGGTGGGGCCACTCCTTGCAGGGCCCTGGGGCCTCACTGGGAGGAGCCAAGTGGGGAGTCAGTGGGAGTTGCAGTGGCTGGGGCAGTGCCCTGCAGAGGCAGGTGGGCGCTCACAGCCGTCAGCCTTTCTTCCGGCTGCAGGGGGCTGCCAAGATGCTGCTGCACTCAGAACAGCACCCAGGCCAGCTCAAGGACAACGTCAGCTCTCCTGGTGGGGCCACCATCCATGCCCTGCACGTGCTGGAGAGTGGGGGCTTCCGCTCTCTGCTCATCAACGCTGTGGAGGCCTCCTGCATCCGCACACGGTGGGCCCCCACCCTGCCCGCTTCCCTGGTCTCCAGTCCTTGCATGGCAGAGGCCTCCATCTCGCATACATCGGCTCATTCATGCACCCAGCAGATATGTATTGAACTCTGGCCTGGCGTTGGGCAGGACACGGGGCCCTGAGGTTCCCTGGGTTACCGTGTGCAGTGCTCCTCCCCACCTTCTGTTTCCTGCGAGGAGGGGACATCCACAGAGGAACCCCGGATGCTCTGCCCTGTGCTCCCCACATAGGTCCACCATCGTCATAGCCAGGAGCGTCATTCGAGCCAGGGGCCACACCAGTGGGGTGGTGGGGTGGCCAGGCACGTTAGGAAACCTGTGTGCCTGGTTCCACCTTCCCCCTGCCCTTGCTGGGGGATTAAGTTAGACCAGCAGGACACACAGCAGCATCCAGGCACAAGGAAAATTCCATGGAAGGTGAAAGAAGGAAAGAGCAGGCGAGAGAGTTTACTGTATGCCTGGGATCCCACAGCTGGTCAAAGGCAGAGCCAGGCTGAGAGCTGCTGTCCCCAGTTCAGGTCTGCAGGGTGGGTGAGGACGTGTTTCTCGCCACACTGCCCACTCTCCAGTCTAGACGCTCTCAGACTCTGCGAGTGCCACCCTGTAGCAGTGAGGGGAACATGAGGGGCCTGGCCTCACCTCCAGCCTGCAGGAGAGACGGGCATAAACCCACATCCTGTGGTGGGGCCATGAGAACTCAGGTCTGGGGGGCGCTGCGGGGAGATTTGGTGATGCTGAGCTGATTCCAGTGAGGTGAGAGGGAGCCCAGAGGGTGACAGCATTGCCCAGGGCTGATGCATTGGGAGCTGTGGGCTTTGCTCCCTCTTCCTGGGTGCACGCTTGTGCTCCAAACCCAACCTCTCCCTGCCTCTCCAGGGAGCTGCAGTCCATGGCTGACCAGGAGCAGGTGTCACCAGCCGCCATCAAGAAGACCATCCTGGACAAGGTGAAGCTGGAATCCCCTGCAGGGACCTCTCTGTCGCCTTCTGGCCACACCAAGCTGCTCCCCCGCAGCCTGGCGCCAGTGGGCAAGGATTGACACGTCCTGCCTGACCACCACCCTGCCACCACCTTCTCTTCTCTCATCACTAGGGGGACTAGGGGGTCCCCGATAGTGGCCCACTGTCTGGCTCTGATCAGCGCAGGGGCCAGCCAGGGACATAGCCAGGGAAGGGCCACGTCACTTCCCACTGGAAATCTCTGTGGTCTGCAAGTGTTTCCCAGCCCAGAACAGGGGTGGATTCCCCAACCTCAACCTCCTTTCTCCTCTGCTCCCAAACCATGTCAGGACCACCTTCCTCTAGCGCTCAGGAGCCCGGAGGGTCTTCACTCACTCTTAACTCCAGTGTCAGCTGGCATGGGCTCCTTCCTGAGTGCAAAGGTCAAGGGCCCCCTCTGTGAAGGCTCAGCAGAGGTGGGATCCCACATCCCCTGCTGGCCCCTCCCTGCCCTCCATTCAGGGAGAAACCTCTCCTTCCCGTGTGAGAAGGCCCGGAGGGTCCAGGCATCGCGAGTCCAGCGTGAAGGGCCACAGCCCCTCTTGGCTGCCAAGCACCCAGATCCCACAGACATTTGGGGAAAGGGCTCCTTGGGTTGCTGGTGAACTTCCTGTGGCCACTGCCTCCTGCTCCTGACCTCCCTGGCGGGGCGCTATCACTTCTGTCCTGGCCCTTCCAGTTTTATAAATTGGTTTCCAGCCCCTAGTGCCCTGACTTCTGTCTGCCAGATGAGGAGGGAGGCCCTGCCTGTCAGGGAGGGTGGTTACTGTGGATGGAATAGTGGGGCCTTCAACTGATTAGGCAAGGCCTGCCCACATCTTGGAGGGTATCTGCCTTACTGATTAAAATGTCAATGTAATCTAATGCAAAGGTCTGCAGAGTCACGTATTAGTCTCATGCAACCCCCCCAACCCCTGCCAGAAACAGAATAATGTTTGACCAAACGCTCAGGCACCCTGTGGCCCAGTCAAGTGGACACATACAGTCAGCCATCCCAGGATCCCAGGAGGTCCACAGGATTGGAGGAGCTGCTGAGGGTTGGGTTACAAGGGCCAGGGATGCTCTGATTCCTTCAACCAACACATAGTTACTGAGTATGGAGACAGCAAGATGAGGCCCCCTTCCCCCCTGAGGCAGTGCACACTGTGTGAGGGGAGGCGGGCTGGGTGGCAGCAGGGTGTCAGGCTGTGCAGGGGTTAGGAGAGCTGAGCAGCTTTCTGGAACTTCATCACGGGAACTCATTTCCAGAACCCCCACAGGCCCACAGCAGAATGATGCTTGGTATGTACGAGGCATGTGGAGGGGCGCTTGGGGGACAGAATCCAGCACTTCCCTCCAAGGGAGGGAAGACATGCAGGGGAACAGGAAGGAAACGCTGCGGCAGGGCAGATGGCATGGGTACATCCTCCACTGCCACTCTCCACCTGGCGAGAGTCCTGGCCGCTCCCCACAAACTGAGCACCCATCACACCCAGGCACAAAGGGGATGGCAGGTGGGGTGAGTCCCTGCTGTCTGGCTGGGATCTGGCAGCGCAGGAGCTAAGCAGGGGACACAGATGGCCAGTGCTGGGCTGGGAGTCCCTGCAGGCTCCCCTGAAGGTCCCCTCCTGTGTGGGTGGACGTGGGCATCAGGGCGGGCGGGGAATGCCCTTGTGTCAGGGCTGTGAGCAACAGAATCACCCCCTGCCCCAGCAAAGTGCCCAGCAGTGCTGGGAGACCCTGGCATCCCTCCTACCTGGGCAGAGGTGCCCCCAGAAGAGACTGTCCCACAGGCCACACACCTGTCCCAGGACTAAAGCTGCCCCCTGACCGTTCCCCTCAAAGCCAATTTCCCTGCCAGCGCCACTCTTAGGTGCTGACGCAGAGCAAGATGAGGGGTGTGGGGCTGCCAAAGGTGCTTCTGGTCTGGGGACACAAAGCCAGCAGGCAACATGGGTTTCAAGTGAGGCAGACAGGTCTTGGGCCCCAGAGGAAGCACAGGGAGGTGGGGAGGTGAGGAGGTGGCCGGGGCGGGGGTGCAGAGAGGCTGTGCAGGGAGGTGTTTGTTTCAGCAGGTGGGCCCTAGGAGCCTTCCTGCTGTGGGTTCCTGATTAAGCAGAGGCAGGTAGAGCCAGAGTCCACAGGAGGCTCCTGACACGCATGAGAAGTCTGGGGAGGTACATGAGGCAGGCTGTGGGGAGGCAGACACCCAGGAAGCCACAGAGTGTGAGGACAGACCCAAGCCAAGCAGCATCACGTTTTATGTGGGTCTGCAGCAGGTCGAGGAGGGAGATGGCCCTGGGGGCCAAGGACCCAAGAATCCTGCTAGGAAGCATCGAAATGCTGCCAGGCAGAGGAACCCTACATGGGGCCCTGTAGGCTGGCTGGATGGTGCTTTCCCTGCTCCTGTCACCAGCAGCTCTGACACCTCTCAGTCCTGTAAAGCTCCCTCCAAAAATGAAGCAGTTTGGAGTGAGTGCCTAGCAAGCCGGGTGGGCCCTGGAGGAAGAGCTGCCCACCTCTGCTTGGCTCAGCTTCTGCCCCAGTTTATTGTTCATTTTATTTTACTTTTTTTTTTTTTAGAGATAGGTTCTCTGTCGCCCAGGCTGGAGTGGTCGTATGATCACAGCTCACTGCAGCCTGCAACCACTGGGCACAAGCAATCCTCCCACCTCAGCCTCCTGAGTAGCTGGGACAACAGGTGTGCACCACCATACCCTTTTTTTTTTTTTGTAGTGATAGGGTATCTCTATGTTGCCAATGCTGGTCTCACACTCCTGGGCTCAAGCGATTCCCCCACTGCCTCCCAAAGTGCTGGGATTACAGGCGTGAGACACCGCAGCTGGCTTGCCACCGTTTCTTGGTTGGAATTGCCCTGACTCCTGCTTACCAGCTGGGGCCCTTGCCCTGCCCATTCTGCCACTCCTCTTCAGTGCCCGGCTGACCCCTGTCCATGGTACTTGTGCAGGACAGGCTCAGGCTCCAGAACAGCCCCTGGCCAGGCAGAGATGGGAAATGCCCACCCTGGGAGGGCCCTGCCTGGAGACCAGGAAGAGCAGGGCTGGACTGGACCCATGTCTGGGTGTGGACGCTAGCACCTGCCTCCCGGCAGCATCTGGTTGAGACCTGCTGCTCTCAGGAGGAACCAACAGGGTCTTAAGGTCAGTCCCACAGAAGGTGTAGCCTGGGGCAGGAGGATGCTGGGGAGGTGCCTGCGGGAGGGAGGCGTCCGGCTGTGATGGGAAGTGAGCTCCTGGAGGTGCAGCAAAGTCCAATCAGGGAGTCAGGCCTCAAGGTGGCACTTAAAGCTGGTCATGGAGACGACTACGTGGGAGTGAGAGGGATGCTTGGAAACCCGTGGGCCTCTCTCACAGTACCCCTCTCAGTAGAGTAGCCTTTTGTGGTTCTGGTGGCCTCATGGGCTTTGGCCCAAGCATGGCTGCACCACCGTTTCCAGGGACAAGTGCCCCAGGCTGTCTGTGGGGAGCTGGCCAGGAGCCACCGGGGAGGTGAGATCTTCATGCAGAGCCAGTGCTGGCCCTCACTGACCATGGAACACCTTGGGCTCTCTAGGATGACGAGGAGACAGGTCCTGGGGGTTTGGCTTGGGCTGTTTCCACGAGGCACCTCCCTTCCCTCAACACCCTTTCTACAAGCCACTGTCTGCTACTCTGCAGATGACCTGGGACCCCACCCACCCCAAGAAGATTCTGGGGTGACGGGCAGCAAAGGAGCCTGGGCAGTCCCCGAGTGTCCTCCTCAGCCCATCCCACCCATCTCTATGACAGTGCGGGGGCGAGGCGGGGGAGCGAGGCTCCCTCCCAGGAGTAGAAGACAGCACCACAGTGAGGACGATTCATAAATCCGTTCCAAGTCGGTACGGAGGGTGCAAATGAGAGCGGGCTCGACCCTGTGAGGAGGAGTCGGGGTGCGGGAGTGAGTGGGGACAACCTGGTGAGTGTCTGCCGCGGGTTGGGGGCTGCCAGCCCCAGGGCCAGTCACCCCTGGCTCCTGACGGCACCGTGGCTCCAGCTCCCGCTGTGTGGCACCGAGGGCGGGTCCCGAGGAGACTCGGGGGCCCGCCAGGTCCCCGCTGTGTGGACCTGGCCCTCACAGCCTAGCAATGCACGACTGCACACTCCCACGAAGCAGGGTGCCTAGCAGCTCAGGGCGCCCTGCCCAGCCAGCCCAGTGTGGTGTGGTAGGATAAGGACGGGAGCAGGGAGGAGAGGCAGGAAGCGGGGCTGCACTCCCGGCCTCAGGGCCCCGTGTGCTGTTTTGTACACTACGGTTGAGGCCTCGGAAGCCACGCCAGGACCATATCATGCCCCTAGAGCCTGTGAGACTCGGGCTGTGCCCAGAGCAGGGGGTGCACGACCCCGACGACCAAGGACACCACCATAAGAACCACACGCAGCCCCACAGCGCACATGGCGACAACGTGCTGTGGGGCTGGGAGGACTTTCTGGGGTCTGGCAGGGACGGGCGGAGGGACGCTTCTGAGCCTTACACCGCACGGCTTCGGGACTCCGGGGCCGGCCTCTGTCCACCTGCATCCTTCACGGACGGAGCCCAGGAGGACCCCACAGCCTGTCCCCGCCCCTTCCTCCCTGCTCACCTGCTGGCGGGGCGGCCACCCTTCCCCTCCCCGGCTTTACAGCTGCGAAGGGAAGAGGGTGGAGGAGGAAGTCCAGACACGGGATCCCCCGTTTCCCTTCCTCCTGAGTCCTCGACCCCTGCCGCTGGGCATCTCCAACAAGCAGCGAAGTCTTCCCCGGGCGGAGCTCTGGGCACACGTGGCGCAGGAGGGGCCCGGGCAGCTCCGGGTCTGCTGCGGGGTGGGGGGGATCGCCCCTCGCTGCTGGGAGCTGGGCCGTTCCCGCCCCGCGCTTCTCTGGGACCCCCGACTTGGAATCGCGGGACCCCGGCGGCGCCGTCCTGACGCAAGAGCGCCTCCGCGTGGCAGGGCCCAGGCCAGCGCCGCCACCACTCGAGGGGGCGCACGCAGAACCTGCCCTAGCCCGGGCACTCGAGCTGGAGAACGCCGCCGCCGTCTGCGAGCTTGGGCAGAGGCCCTGGAGGGCGGGCGCAGGAGCCAGACGAGGCGCGCTTGGGCTGCAGGACGCCGGGGGCTGGGGGTGGGGACCTGGCGCTCTGGCCGAACGCCCAGGCCCGGCCCGTGAGACGCCGACTGGGGCTGGCGCAGCCAGTGTTGCCAGGGACAACGGCGCGCGGGTTGCGCATGCGCAGTTTGCCCTCCCGCCGCCGCGCCTTCCCCTTTAAGCGCCGGCCGGCCGCGTCGCCGCTTCATGAATGGAGCCCACGTGACCAAACATCATGTGACGTCTGTGGAGCGGCGGCGGCGGCGGTGGATCCCGAGCCTGGTCCGGCCCGGCCTTCCCAGCGCGCTCGGCCCGGCCCGCGCAGGCGGCGAGTCCCCCGAGCCCCGGGCCCGGACCCCTCGCGCCGGTCCCTGCCCCGCGCGGCCTCGGAGGCGCGCGCGGCCGCCCGTCCCGGCCTCGGCCCGCCGGGCCGCAGTGTGGTGAGTGCGGCGGCGCGCGGCCGGCGGCGGCGGGGCGGCGCGGCGGGGCGGCGGGCCGAGAGGGGCCACGGCGGGTTGGGCTCCTCCCGGAGCTAGGCGGGCGGCTGGAGGCCCGGTGGCGGGGGCCGCTGGTTTCGGGTCTGCCGCGCACCCTGCTGGCGGCCCGTGCCTCGATTTCCCCAGCGGTCAGGAGCCAGCTCCTGCCCCTGCCGCCTGGGTGCTGGGGGTGGGCCGCGGGCGGCGGCGGACCCGCGGAGCTGGGCGAGTGCGGAGCGGACTCGGAGACCCGGGCGTCCTGGAGGGAGGGGCACCGGACGGCGGGAGGAAAGGGTGGGGTCGAGTGAGGCGCCCGGGGGTCCGCGCCAGGGCCCGGCGGCCCGGCCCGCAGCTGCTGATTCATCAGGTGGCCGCGTCAGCGCTCCCCGGGCGCGGGGGTCCGCGACGAGCCCGGGAGGAGGGGCGGCGGTGGGGGGGCTGCGGGGAAGACCTTGCCCCTGGCTCGGGCTCGGGTTCCGTCAGTCGCGTGCCAGAGCCCGGAGGGAGACTTGCTGAGTCATCAGCATGAGGTCACTCGGTGCTTAAGCTGATATCGGAGGGGATTGGAGCGAGGGGCCTCGGGGACTAAAAGGCCGCCAGCGGGAGGTGGGAGGGAGCCTTGGGGATGTGGGAGGGGGCCAGGCCCGGCGCCTTGGGGTGCCTGTTTAAGTGAGCGCCGAGCGATCCAGTTGAAGGCAGGGGTGCTTGAAGAGGAAGTGGGGGTGGCTCGCTGCAGGTGTTCTCCCGGGGTCAAAGGTGAAGCCCTGGGCGGTCCACCCCTTCCCGGGCGGCTCTTTTCCGGCAGCTGGTCCTGGTCCCACGTCTGGAGCAGTTTCCCAAACTGGGAAATAGTTCCCTGAGTGAGGGAGGGGAGGAGCTTCGGTGGGCCGAGCTAGCCAAAGGGGAAGTCAGCTTTCCCTGGGACTGGCCTGGTTGGACAGCCCCTGGCTAGAGATCCAGGCCCTGGGAGAAAGAGGGGTGTGTGTACCAAGCCCTGGGTGACAGTGGGCTGGGTGGGGAGGAAGCAGGGGCAGCTCTACCAGGAAACGGCAAGGGGGAGGAAGCAGCCCTGCCTCTCTCCCCAGCTGGCGCTGGAGTCTGGGTTGAGACTGTAGGTGGTGGGAGCTTCAGGGTGCCTAGCCTTGGGGTGCAGCAGATGGGCTGGTGTGGATGGCACAGGGTGGCAGAACGCAGCTCCCAGTCACCCCAGAGTTGCCCCTACCTGAAGTGGGGTCTCAGTGTTGTGTGAAGTTAGCAAAGGGAGTGGCCCTGCTGGGTGTCTGGCCTGGCGCAGGACGCTTAGAAAGTGGCAGCCTGGGGGCGATGTGGCCAGAGCCACCTTTCCTTGGGTGTGTGGAGATTCACTAAGGTAGACTTCCTTTGCCCAGGAGTTTATGGCTGGGTTAGGCCACTTTGTGGTTTGCCCTCAGTGATCCTCCCTCCGCATCCCCGTGTGCACACACACACATGCACACACACGCACACACACGCACACACACACAGTTCCACTCTCAGTGAGCCCTGGGGCTTATAGATTCCAGATGTTTCAATGCTTCCGCTGACCTATGACCTAGAGTTCGATGCCCTGGGAAAATTTCGGGGTCCTGGAGGGGCGTTTATGTGCATCTTCTCAGTCACTTATGCATCAGTGGAAACTAAGTTTTAGGTTCTGTTCAAAGAGTGACTTCCATGAACTGAGAGCTTATGGAGCAGAGACCATGACTGCCAGGGAGTTTCGGCCACTGGGCTCTGCAGCCGATCGAGGCTGTCTTTGTTCAGGCACGGGAGTTTCTACTTTAGCCAAAGGAGACGGAGCTCCCAAATCTCTCTCCCTGTCCTGGCTCTCAGTGTGAATGGGTGGACCAGGTACCCTGGCAGGTTGCGGGGCCTTGACCATCTGTGCCTTCTGTGTGAGGTGGGCGTAGCCTTTGCGGGAGCAGAGGGTGCGTGACAGGACCCAGCTCTGGCCAGCCTTGAGGGCTGGAGGAGGACTGGGGTTGGGGCAGCTTCTCCTCAGTCCAGCTCCTGGGATCCCTGCATCGTCCCTCTGAGCCCAGCTCCTGAGGCTGTCTCTGCTCTGCGTGTGTCCGTGTATCCTGGTTTGCCAGAGGCCAGGCCAGGAGCCTGGAAGCACTGGCTGTGCTCAGGCCTGCCCCTCCCCCGCCCCAGGCACACCTTTGATTAGGAGGCGATGGGTTGCGCTTGTGCTGAGTTCAGGCCTTCTGCGGAGGGCAGAATCTGTCGAGGAGGCACTTTTCCGTGTGATCTCTTCAGGAAGTCACCGCTGTCATTGTGCTTAGCAGCAGGCGTGGGGGCGATGGGGGTGGGAGAAGCTGGGGCCAGGGCAGTGTCTCTGCACCCTGACTCAAGGCTGGGGGCCTGTCTCCTGAGGCAGTGTCCTGCCAGATGTGTAGGAAAGAGCTCCTGTGGGCCTTCTGACCTCCAGCTCAGGTCTTCCCCATCCTTTATTTGGAAGAATCCAGTGGCTGGAGTCTTGGGACCTTGCTTCTGAGCTGGCTTGACTGTGGAGAGGGGTCTCTGGCCTCCCCTCCCTGCTCTGGGCTTGCAGCCTCACGTCCTGGTCCAAGGCTGGGTGAGGTGGAGTCTTGACCCTGGTGAGAGTAAGAAGCCCCCCAGCCCATAATTTCCTGAAATGCTCCTGGCTGCTCTGGAGGAGACTCAAACCTGGAAAGTGGGGGATGGAGCATGGGGTGGGGTCCATGCCCAAGGGTCTGGTGGGAGCTGGACTGAGCTGGGAATCCCAGATGGGTTTCTGGGATGAGGTGCACAGAAATATCCGTAGCAAGAACGTGAGAGCGGAGTGCTAGAGGGACCCGAGTGGGTGAGAGTTGATTGTTTAGTCCAGCCTCCCCAGCACTTTTGTTTTTGCTCCCTGACCCTGTGGGAATTGACCCGGGGCAGGGACCAGAGAGCAGGCTGCCACTCGGAGGGGCTGACTCCACCAGCCTTCAGTTGGGCAGGCCCCGGGGTGGCTCACTGTGGGAGCCCTTGTGAAATACCCTGGATGGGGTGGGGCAGGGGCTGCTTCCTGCAACCCAAAGCCACAGGATGGTTACTCCATCAGTGGAGGAGGCAGACTGGGAGGGCCGGAGGGGCCTCGGGCCAGGCTCCTCCCAGCTGATGGCCTGCCACCTGGAAGGTGGGGGAACTCCCCGGTCAGTCCTGCCAACAGACCAAAGCTAGATGGACGGCCCACCCTCAGCTTCTCAAAGTTAGGAGACTGGGAGACTCGGGGTTCCCTACAGCCTCCTCTCTGGGTAGGTCCCCAGTGGGGCCCCTGTGCACCCAGGGAGCAGGGGGCTTTGTCCCAGGCCAGCTCAGGGGAGGTGGTTGTAGGAGGTAGGACCCTGGAAGATGCACGCACAGGGTCACTGGCTGGCCCTCACCTGCTATTGGTCAGGCTGGCCTTTCTGGCCCCCAGCAGCTCGGCTGCGGCTCTCCTGGGGCGCTGTTGGCTGGCGGGCCCAGGGAGTGCGGGCGCGGCGGGGGAGCGGGAGGCAATGTGCTGAGTCAGCGTGACTCGCCAGGAACAGCCGTGCTCTGGGGCAGTGCTGGGGTTATTTTTAAAGCTCCCGGCTTCCTTCTAGGCCTGCCTCTCCCGCGTCTTATTCCTTCTAATCTCTCCCCCGCCCCTTGTCTTGCGCCTGCCTCCCTAACAGCCTTCAGTTCCCCTTCTCCCATCAGACCTTCCTGACCTCCCACCTGGTTCTCTGAGGGTAGGGTGGACAGGAAGCAGCTCAGCCTAGCCTGGGAGAGGCCAAGGGCTGCCTCCGATCAGGTATTGGGGGCTGGGCACCTGGGCAGCAGGCTGGGGTGGGCTGTGCAGCAAGGGCTCTGTGAACTGGGGTGGGGCGCGAGGGTGGTCTCCAGGGTACTGACCTCTGCTCCATGTCTTGCAGAGAGCGCCTGCTCGCTGTGCCCCCGGGTTATGACGACCCCCAATAAAGGAAACAAGGCCTTGAAGGTGAGTGGGCAGGGACAGGAGACTTCAGGCCCGGGGTTGGGGGGCACAGTGGGCATGCCCGCTTGGCCTGTGACCCTGTGCCCTGTGCCCCAGGTGAAGCGGGAGCCGGGTGAGAATGGCACCAGCCTGACGGATGAGGAGCTGGTGACCATGTCGGTGCGGGAGCTGAACCAGCACCTGCGTGGCCTGTCCAAGGAGGAGATCGTCCAGCTGAAGCAGCGCCGGCGCACGCTCAAGAACCGCGGCTACGCTGCCAGCTGCCGCGTGAAGCGGGTGACGCAGAAGGAGGAGCTGGAGAAGCAAAAGGCGGAGCTGCAGCAGGAGGTGGAGAAGCTGGCCTCGGAGAATGCCAGCATGAAGCTGGAGCTCGACGCACTGCGCTCCAAGTACGAGGCGCTGCAGACCTTCGCCCGGACGGTGGCCCGCAGCCCCGTGGCGCCAGCCCGGGGCCCCCTTGCCGCCGGCCTGGGGCCCCTCGTCCCAGGCAAGGTGGCCGCCACCAGCGTCATCACAATAGTAAAGTCCAAGACGGATGCCCGATCGTAGGGACGCGCGTCTGCCCAGGCGGGTCTTTGCAGGGCCACTAGGCACATGGCGAATTCGGCTGCCCTGTCCCTCTGTTTCCTTCTCTTCTCTTTCCTCCCTCTCTTCCCCGCCCTTCTCTCTTCCCTGCAAAGCACAACCTGTACCCCAGGGGCGCCGGGCTGAGCCCCTTTGATCTCGTCATTGTCGTCGTGTGTTTTGTATGTTGGGATTGGTCAGTTCGGCGGTGACGTGGGGTCGCGCCAACCCCTTTTGTACCAGGGCCATGCAGTCTTGGAGTCCAGAGTTGGTGCTGTGGGAATGGACTTGAGAGAGTTGCGGGAGAGAGAAGGAGAAGGCACGCTGGGCCTCACGTGTCCCCGAGCAGTGAGGGTTCCAGTGTGCCCTCCACTCTCGAGTGGCCACAGGCTTGTGGGCTGGGAAGGATTCACTCTCTTTAGCCCCAGGAGGGCAGCTCAGCTTAGCCCAGCACAAAGAGATGGGCTCTGCTCTGAGAGTAGGGCGGCCTTGAAGGCCCTGATGGGTGGACCACCAGCCTGGGCACAGTGGTGCTGGGGGCGTGCAGTTGGGGCCAAGGGCTGTGCGCTCAGGCCTGACCCGTTGCACTGAACAAGACCAAATCGCTGGCTGTGCACTTACGTGAGGGTGAGTCCAGTGTGCCCTGCGATGGGTCCCGTGTCACTGTTTACATGACCTATTTGTGTGGTTATATAGCCCTTTATTTAAAAGAGAGAAGTTCCTTTTACAAAGTTATTAAATTAATTATATGTTTAAAAGTTAAAGAAAAAAAGAGCTGCAGAGTATTTATAAAACTGTCTTTTAGAAAAAAAAAAAACAAGCAAGAAGACCATTTGACCATATAAATGGAAAAGGGAAGAAAGTATAATAGAAACTTTGCTAGTTAAAAAAAAAAGAAAAAAAAAAAACAAAAAAAATCCCTTTCTTGTAAACTTACGGACAACTCTTTGTGGCTGTTGGAGTTTAGTTTTTATATACACAGAGTTATCAGACATTATTTATAAAACTTAGTTTAAAAAAAGAAAAAAAAAAAAAAAGCCAAGCCGTGAGCCGACCAGAAGGCCGTCCTCTTTGATATCTTTTGCAATTGTACCGAAAGTGACTTACTCCTCTGCCCTTCCTGCTTCCGTCTCTTGCCGGTGCCGTGGTGTCGTCCGTGCCTGGTGAGGTTTTGTGCAGCGGTAAAGTGCTGGTGCTTCTGGTGACCTTCGACCTGTGGGTGTCACTTCTTGTGTCAGTTTTCCTGTGTTCGTTTTTTGGGTTTCGTTGTGCTTTTGCTTCTGCTGGCTTGCCGGACCTGGGCTGGGGTGCCAGGTGGCACCTGCTGCGTCAGAGCTCAAGGAGTCTGTGCCCACCACCAGCTCCTGGTCCCTAGGAGGTGAGACGTGGGGTTCCGTCACACTCCCCCCCAACTGAGCCTTGGCTACATCTGTGTCTAGGGCTTGGGCTGATCTGGTGGCCGGGTAGCTGAAACTGGGGGCCCCTTCGGGCCCCCCCACACTGCTCCACACCCACCACCTCTGGCCTTGGGTGGTGGTGGTGCAGGGACCAAGGAGTCACTGTGGGTGGCCACAGGGCTGTGGCCAAGCGTTCCCTGGCTGTCTTCCTCAGGCCTCAGTTTTGTTCCGATAGGCTTCATGTGGGGCCTCAGCCGGGGAACCCCCAGGGCCCGCACCGTGGGCTGCAGGTTTCGCCGCCTACTTGATCCCTGAGGTGTTTCCATGCTGCGGGTGGTGCTTCCAGGCAGAGTGGTTGGGGCCCACCGGGCAACCCTTTCTTCCTTGTCCCTGCCTCACTCTGAGAGCCTTGGGAGCGTCCACCAGTGCAGACAAGGGCTACAGTCTCCAGGGCCGGTCTTGTCCCTCTTCTCCGCTGGTCCACGCTGGCAGCTCTTGGCTTTGGGCCTGCCTTCTGCCTCCCTTTGGGATCTGTGTCTTCCAGGGATCAGCTGCTTGGCTTCTGCTGGAGGTGCCTCCCTCTGGGGGCCCAACCTGCCTCCTGCTCCCAGTTCCTCGCCAGAGGCTGCTGCCCTTCCCGGCTGGGCTCAGGAGGCTCCTTATAGGCATATGACGGGGAAGGGGTGCCCCCACCCACCTCCAAGAGGCTGCAGCCCCGTGTCTGGCCATGTGAGCCTTGGCCTTTCACCAGGGCTGCTGGTTTCTTCTCTGTGGGGCCCAGACTGCTGTAAAGCACACAAATGGGGGCTGGTAAGATGAAAAACTGGCCTGACAGGGCTTAACCCTGTGGGTGGTGGGATTTTGATCCAAGAGTTTGGCCTGGTGTGCCCATGAGATGGGAACAGGGATGTACCATCAACCCTTGTCATCTTCATGAGCTTTTCTTTGCTCTGAGCATTCAGAGACAAGTCCTGTTGCTACCTGGGTCAGCCTGAAAATGGAAATTCTGGCTGTTGATTCATGTCATTTAGTGACTTCATCCCCCTCCCCTCAGTCTGATCTTGTCTAAGTAGAATCCAGGCGTTAGTTGGAATCATAAGTATCCATAAAGAAAACGTCATGATCTGCCTTGGAGCAGGGATAAACAGGCCCTCCCTGTCCTTGTGCGGCCCCCACTCTTGTCCTGGCTGCGGGTGGCCCTCCATTTTGAGCACCTCTGCCAGGCTGCAGACCTGGAGGCAAAGGGAGTGCGGAAGAGGAGGGTGTAAGGGTCGGCGCGTGTGAATGGGAGGTGCAGGTGCTGAATGGGAGGTGCAGGTCCTCGGTGCGTTGGCAGAAGAGGCTTCTGGAGTTTCGAGGCCATACCTCCTTTCAAGAGCTTTGGATTTGGAGCGACTTCCCTGGGTCTAGGGGAGTGTTCCTGTCCCCTGTCAGGCCAGCCCTGTGGAGCCACTCTGCCCCTCTTCCCCTTCCCCTGGATTTCCTGACGTAGATGCTGTGTTCATGTGCAGATGTGAATGTGCTGTCCTTCTGATCTCTGTTAATCCCGCTTTCTTACTGAGAGGGTGGTGGTCTCTTCTCACCTCAGTTTTTCTGACACAGCGAATCGAGGGCTTTGGCCAAGGCCAGGTCTCTCAAACTTGTCCGCCAAGTAAACCGTGATATATGTCTTCCCTTCCACCTTGACTTTGCCCCAACTCCTCCTTTATCCCAACATGGACACTCAGATTTCAGAGGACTACCCAGCAGGGACAAGTCACCTCTCACCCGGAGAGTGAGGCCCCTGGCTGCTGCTCCGGGTGGCGCTGGTGTTGCTGGGGCTTCAGCTCTTGGTGCACGTTTCAGATAAGCGTGCACACTTCTGACCGGTGGTCAGGGCCCGGCCCACGGCTCTGAGCGGCTGCAGCCTGCTTTGGGACGATGGTCAGGTCCCATGTTGTCCCTGCTGCCTCCCTCTGGAGTGGCCACTTGGCCAAAGCTCCCATCCACATCTGGAAAGTCTGAGCTGCGGCGTGCTGCACCGTTTCCGCTCTAGGATCTTGTGAGTTACTTTTTTAGGCTGTGGTTTGGTGAAAGGAACCAACACATTAACGATTTTTCCCCCCAGAAGCCACTGAATAATTCTTTTTGGTGTATTTTTGCCTTCCTGTTGGCTGTCTGGCCTTGGAGCAGGTCGGGAGAGTGAAGTACATAATCAGTGCCACACAGAGGCAGGGCATGTCTTAGACTGATGCCTGTCCTGCCTCTGGCCTGTGTCCTGGGTGTGTGCCGTACCTGCTGGGCCAGTCCCACACATTTCCACCCTGCCCCTGGAGCAGCAGCTTTGATACCATGGGTGTCCCTTGAGTCTGAGCTAGAGTGTGTCCCCGATAAACTGTGAGACCTCCCTGTTCTTGGTGACCCCAGTTGGGCTTTGACCCCTCCAGCAACCTTGTGTCCCATCCCTGCCCTTCCTCCCACCCCCTCAATCTGCTAGTCCCTGAAGCCTTTAACCAAACGGGAGTGGGCACAGAAAGCCTTCTCCTGGCAACAGGACAAGGGCTGCCCGCGTGTCCAGCCCTGTTGCTCTCCTGGCACTGAGAGGTGGATCCAAGCAGAGTTGATCAGTCCCCCTGCCAGCCCTGCCTAGGTCTAGCCAGGGGAGGTTGTGTGTGTGTGGGAGAAGACCCCGGGATGTGCTGGGGTGGGATGGAGGTTATTAAAGATCTAAGTGAGGAGGGGCTGGGGTTTGGATGCGGGGTGAGGCCCGAGCGCTCACACTTCGTGTAGGGCTGGCAGGGGCCTGACCTCGGGCAGGGCAGTGGCCTTGGTGCCCCACCCCTGCCCTGCGCAGTATTTATTGCTAAATTATTGTCCAGGAGGGGCAGCACTGGGCCTGGCCCCCCGGGTATTTATTGCTGTACATAGTGTATGTTTGTGATATATAAGGTTTTCTTTATTTTGTATATGATCAATAAACCTTTTAAAGAGACTGGCAGGTGCTTCTTTGGGGCGACGCGGCGGGCGGAGCCGGAAGAGGTGGGTGGGGGCGGGACCCGTCTTGCGCATGCGCCCTGAGCGCGGCCTGCCGTGTGAGGCGGAAGCGGAAGAGCGGGTCTCCAGGGGAGCGATGGCAGCCGGGGGTCTGAGCCGCTCGGAACGCAAAGCTGCGGAGCGGGTCCGGAGGTTGCGGGAGGAGCAGCAGAGGGAGCGCCTCCGCCAGGTACGCCGCCGTCGCTCCCCGGTCCGGCTATGCCCGGCGCGCGCCGCCGCTCACCGCCGGCCTGCCCGCAGGTGTCGCGCATCCTGAGAAAGGCGGCGGCGGAGCGCAGCGCCGAGGAGGGCCGGCTGCTGGCCGAGAGCGCGGACCTGGTAACGGAGCTGCAGGGCCGGAGCCGGCGGCGCGAGGGCCTGAAGCGGCGGCAGGAGGAGGCGAGTTCCGCGGGCGGCGGCCGCGGGCGCCCCCGGTTTCGGGAGCAGCCGGGGCGACGGGCGGTCCCGGGTGGGGCGGCCCGGGGCGGTGACCACCCTGGCGTCTTGGCAGGTGTGCGACGACCCGGAGGAGCTGCGAGGGAAGGTCCGGGAGCTGGCCAGCGCCGTCCGGAACGCCAAATACTTGGTCGTCTACACAGGCGCGGGAATCAGCACGGTAGGGAGGGAGGCGGAGGCGGACCCCAGGATGGAGTACGCGCTCCTGTAATCGCGAAAAACTCGCCTTTAAGGCAGCTTTAAGGTTTTTTTCCCTTTTTTAGAGAAACAGGAAATGACCAAAACTTACCTAAGGTAAACGCTTTTTAAACGCTTAGTTTGTGGTACAGCCAGTTAAAAACAGACAAGGAGCAGAGATACGAATGGGCTGTAGTAGCCGACTGCTCGCAGTCACCCCCAGGTTATGTGGACAGAGCTAAGCCCAAAGCTGTCGTGATTCTCCACTGTGTTCTCTCCATGTTGAGGGAAGATAAGTAGAAAGTGACACAGTAAGAGCCGGAATACACCAGGTGAAGGAGAGAATTGCATTGTGTTTTGAGAAGTTTCACCGACAAGTTATCCTGGGCTGTGGGACATCACTAGCTTTGAAAGTGTAGCTGGCACATCGTCCATCTAGTCCGATGGGTGAGTGTGGAGTGCTGGGCATGCATAGGCGTAGCAGATCTGAAGGCCAGGTGATTTCTGTTCTCAGGAAGCCTTTAGGTGACAAGAATCAGGTATGTGAACAAATAAGCATAATGTAAAGCTGGCTGTGCTGGATCACTAGAACAAACCCAGGCACACACTATGTGCTCTTGGAGTTGGGAAACCTACCTGGGTTGGCTTTTTGTGGGAGGTAGCCTTGATTGGGCCTTGAAGGATGGGTGAGATTTACAGGAGAAGGTGGGAATGAGGCACTCCAAGCAAAGAAGAGCAGAGGCTTAGCAGGAAGAATGCAGAAAGGGAGTTCACTGCTGACTCAAATACCTGGAGCCCTGGCGTTTGGTCTCCTCCCTCCACAAGTCACATGTAAAAGTCCAGTCACGCTGGGCGCGGTGGCTCATGCCTGTAATCCCAGCACTTTGGGAGGCCGAGGTGGGCAGATCATGAGGTCAGTAGTTCAAGAACAGCCTGGCCAACATGGTGAAACCCTATCTCTACTGAAAATACAAAAATTAGCCGGGTGTGGTGGCAGACACCTGCAATCCCAGCTACTCGGGAGGCTGAGGCAGGAGAATCACTTGAAACTGGAAGGCGGAGGTTGCAGTGAGCCTAGATCGTGCCACTGTACTCCAGCCTGGGCGACAGAGCGAAACTCTGTCTCAGAAAAATAAAAAGTCCAGTCATGTAATTATGTAACAGTCATGTGACCTCCTATGGAGCTTGCAATGGCAACTAGAAGCACATGCAGCTTGTGGATTTCATCTGAGTGTAACTGAGGTTTCCATCTTGAATGTGACTGTCCAAACCACTGCCGGGGGATGGTGCATTTTTCTGAGTTTAAGCAGGAGTCAGGAGTCCCCAAAAGGGAACAGAAGGCACCTTGATATCTTCTGTGCCCTTTCTGGCCTCAGTTTGTTTCACAGGATTGAAATCCTGGAAAGTTAGATGCTTATCTCATCTGGAGAAGTTGTTCTGCCTTTGTTTGTTTGTTTGTTTTGAGACGGAGTCTGGCTCTGTCACTCAGGCTGGAGTGCAGTGGCGCAATCTTGGCTCACTGCAAGCTCCGCCTCCTGGGTTCACGCCATTCTCCTGCCTCAGCCGTGCCTCGCCTCCCAAGTAGGCTGGGCTGACTAGCAGGTGGGCTCCGCCAGCGCCGGGAATGGCACCTGGTAAATTTTTTGTACTTTTCTAGTAGAGATCGGGTGGTTTCATCCGGTGTTAAGGCCTAGGGAATGGGTATTGTTGTTTCTCGGGATTTCGCGAGCTTGTGTGCGCCGGCGCTGGGGCCTGG